GCAAATTAAAACCACAAGGAAATAACACTAAAATTTTAGAAGTCTAAAATAAAATTAAAGACTGACCATACCAAATTATTCGCAAGAAATGGACCAACTTGAATTCCAGTACCTGGTGGGTATATAAAATAGTATAATCATTTTGGAAAACTCCTAAAAAGTTACATTTACCAGAAAACCTGGCCATTTCACACCCAGGTATTTGCCCAATGGAAATCCTAAGAGTATATCCAGACAAAGACTGTTATACCGATTGTTTACAACAATTTTATTTCTAATAACGAAAAATTTGAAAAGCACGTAACTATCAATAGATGGTTAAATCAGGTTCTATTCATTCATCAGAATATTGCTCGATAAAAAGAAATGAACAAACCATTGATATCTGCAATACCATGGCTTAATCTTAAATTATGCTGAGTAAAAAACAGCCAGATGTTATTTGCAGGTAAATGGATGGTGCTGGAGAGGATGGTTAGATGAAGTTGGCCAGTCCCAGGGGTACAAATGCGTTTTCTCTGATGTACGGAGTCTGATTCATGGTGGGGTAGGTAGGGGGAGCATGGGAGGAATGGAGAAACTCTGGATGGGGCAGGGCAGGGAGGTGCAGGGGGTTGGAAATGATTGTGGAGTGTGATGAACATCATTATCCAAAGTACATGTATGAGAACACAAATTGTTGTGAATGTACTTTGTATACAACCGAAAATATGGAAAAATGTGCTCTATGTGTGTAGTGTGATTTGTGATGCAGTCTGCTGACATCCTGTTCTATGGACCTCCTCACTGGGCAAGAGAGAGCCCACGATATAAAATTCCAGAAAACACAAATGAATTTACAGTGATAGAAAGCCTATGGGTGACCAGGTATGGTGGCACACTCTTGTAAACCCAGCAATTGAGGCAGAGGATCACAAATTTTTGAGACCAGTCTCCACAACTTAGCGAGGCACTAAGAAACTTAGTGAAATCTTGTCTCAAAAATAAGAAATAAAATGGGCTGGGGATATGGCTGAGTTATAGAACACCCCTGGGTTTAATTCCTAGTACCAAAACAAAACAAGTAGGTGGGAGGGAGAGGGAGGGCTATCAGGGAGGAAAGGACTTACAAAGGWACTCACAGTATCCTTTGGGAGTAAGAATGTATTCACTACTGCATGGTCAGCAGTCTGTCCACAGCCCCAATCAAAATGCATGGCCTATCCCAAGTCTTTTTGAGTCTTAGACTTGCATATGCATAGCATTGTATGGGAAAGTTGTGTTATGGAACCAAATGTCAGGTTCTGGTCATAGTGGCTGACAACAAAGACTTTGCCTTTGCCTTCTAGAGACCCAGTTCCAGGACTGTGCATATAGCAGAGCAGTACAGCAAAATGTTTAACAGCATAAAGGCCTACCTTAGAATACAAACATTACCACCCTTTCAGTTTTAGGGACATCATCTATCTTCTGTGAAGCTGTTTCCTCACTTATGAAATGGTAATAATGTCATCTACCTCAGGGTGGTTATGGGAACTGAGTTCATCAAAATAAACCACTTGACATAGTTCAGGACACATTTTAAATGCCCAGTAAATGTCCTAAGTTGTTATTATTATCTCCTATTATCTCCATTTCCCTTTTCATGGCGTTTCTTTGCTCTTCAAATTATGACTTTCACTTAGGACCATATCCCTAGTTTTCTTGACCACTATTTCAAAAACCCAAGGCACAACATGTCTAGATARTCTAGTTTTTGGTGGCTACTATACAATATTGTACGTATATATTATGAGAATGTATGCATTGTTAGAATTAATTTTCACCTTTTACCAACTTAAAAAAAATGCCTCCCAGGAATTTAAAATTATATATGTAGTTTACATTATCTATATTTCTACCAGATACTGCTAGTCTTGCTGGACCAATAGTTCGAAGCTGTACAAACGCCTCCCCAGATGGTAATCTAATATACTCCAGTCAATAGGTCATTGTTTCCCAAAATCTTAGCCCAAGGGATTAGGAAATTTAAGTCTCTTCACACCTGTATCTACCTACGAAATATACCCAGTATCTATCCAGCACACTCAAATCAATGACAAGAAACTCACCAACTCCCAAAGCAGCCCTTTCTATATTTTGATAAGTCTTGAGAACAAGATGATACTTCCTTAACCTCATGAACATCTACTTACCTCCCCAGTAGGCCAATTTTAGCCTTACATTAGTCCTTTGAGCTATTCAGAAAGGCTCAAGAACAGAAAAAAAACCACCATTTGCAGGTCATTTACAAAGAACTGTGTAAAATTTACTATAGCATTTAATCTTCACACCAATGTAAGAATTACTGCTGTTCTCTCCATTTTATAATGGGGCCTTTAGGGCTTAGAAAATAAAGCTAGAATATCAAAATCAGGAAAAGGCAGATTTTAACCAGACCTGGCTGACTTCTCAACTACTTCATTCTATACTGCTTTTGTTGGTTACGCTCTCAACATCCCCCTCTCCCTAGTTCTCCCACCTGGCAGCTACAAACTCAATCTAGATGCAATCCTGTTCTGGCCAGAGCTGTCCTTACCTGTCTCAGCAGCCCCTAGGATGTCCAGTCTGTCACGGATGGCAGGTACCAAAGTCAAAGCTTGGATTGGTGTGGGTGCAGAAAAGCCTAGAAAGCTGAGTGCTCGGAGAACTGGTTTGGGCACAAACAGGTCCTTCCAAGCTGACACATCTGCCTTTTGGTCATGTACCTCAGGCATCCATGTCTTTGCTTTCTTTGGTACCTTAGGGGCAGTGCTCTGCGAAGGCTCTAATCTTTTTTTCCCTTTGTTTTTCTTCTTTTTTGGAACAGTATGTTCTGGGCTTTCTGATGCTGTCTCCCCTACCTCTGAATCAGGACAAATAGTGTCATCTCCCTGAGGCTCTGGCTCAGCATCTTTGACTTCAAAGTCTTTCTGGGTAGTAATGATTTCTTCAGTAATTGGTACCACAACTTTACTCTTCTTCAATTTGATCTTTTTCTTTGGAGAACTAGACTCTCCTTCCTCTTCTTCTGAACCAGCTTGTACCTTTCTCTTCTTGAGCTTCTCCTTTGAGAAGAGATTGGAGGGATTCTTGACAGCAGAGACCAATCGATAATCTGTCAGTTCCTCGAAGCATACCAAATCATCCATCTGTCCATCTGCAAACATGTTTGGGTCAATCTTCACCTGCTTCCATTTCCCCAAAACTTTGATGCCTTTGGTCTGAAATTTGCCACGGCTTGGTGGCTTTGGCCTTGATTTTGTCTCCTTCAACTTCATGGTTGCTAAAAAGGAGAGAAATGTTCCTTTAGGTTGGTGACTGAAAAGCATGGGGTTCTAAAGCAACAAATAATTTCTGGGCAATCTATCAAGTACCAGGCCCTGCAAAGAACTAAGAATACAAAGATGGCTATAACAAAGATGCTCCAGCCAAGAAAAGATGCTCCAAGCTAGAGAAAGAAATACACCCATAGCACAGGTGGCTTGGCCTGGAACAGGAGACACAGGAACTGGAGCAAAGGCATATGAGGTAAACCTGGTTTGAATTCCAGACCCAAAATTTAATGCGTGCCTGACCCTGCAGAGGGCTGCTTATTGTCTCCTGAACCTTAGTGTTTTCTTTTTTTTTTTAATATTTATTTTTTGGTGTAGATGGACACAACACAATGCATTTTATTTTTACGTGGTGCTGATAATCGAATCCAGGTCCTGCCTGTCCTAGTCGAGCACTCCACCGCTGAGCCACAACCCCAGCCCAACCTTAAGTGTTTTCATCTATAAAAAAGGGAAAGGGACCTGATAATATCTAAGTTTTGTGTTTTATGCAAATAACTGAAATTATATAAAGCACGGAGAATGGGGCTTGGTTGATTCCTAAGCCATTTGGAAGACAGAATAAAAATCTTGAGTTTTTGTCTGGGGGTTGGGGTGTGCTTTACTAAAAAGTGCACCGAGGGGCTGGGGTGTGACTCAAGCAGTATTGCGCTTGCCTGGCATGCGCGCGGCGCTGGGTTCGATCCTCAGCACCACACACAAATAAAGATGTTGTGTCCGCCGAAAACTAAAACTAAATATATATATCTCTTTAAAAAAAAGAAAAGTGCACCGAGCTTCCACCTTCAGCCAAGAAGGCAAATGCCTGTTCCGTCCCTCTGGCTTTTACCAAACGGGTTAAAACCCACCAGCTTTTTCGTCACGTTAAGTGACTTAACGTCCAGGCGCAATTTCTTCGGGTGGCACTCGGCCCATGCTTCTACCTAAGGCGTCAAAGTTAACAGATCCTGCGCAAAAGGCAAATAACTCTCGCTTCGAATACGGACCCACCTCCGACAGTCCTGGGTCTGGGGCGTGTCAACCTCTGGGAGCCTCAGTGTCCCCGTCCGCGGGATGGGGCCGCGCACGACCCGCACTTAACAAGCGAAGGTGACGCACATCAAAAACCGCCGTTGAAGGGAGGCCGGTCGACGCCGGCTGCGACCGCGGTGGGCAAGGGGCGGGGACTGTCACTAGGACGGGGTCGAGGTGGCGGCAGAGACCTGCACGGAAGCTCCCGGGCGCGGCCGCGGCCCGCGCTCTCGCCCCTGTAGCGTATTCAAAACCGAGGCCACGGGGCAGAAGCCCGAAGAACGGGAGCTGGGCGCGAGGACCGCGTGCAGCGCGCTCGGCGGCCTCCCTCTGAACCCAGCCTCCCGCCGAGGTCCGCGCCAGGAGCCCCGGGTCCCGCCCCGGCCGGGCTTCTGCTCGGGTACTCACCGCGTGGGTAACTTGGGGACCGAGCCGCAGTTCCCTCACGCGCGGGTCAGCAGCCTCAGAAGCCACCAGAGCAGGGCCTCAGCTGCAGCGTCGACCGCAGTTCCGGGGCGGAGCTTCCACTCACGCGTGCGCGCTGCCGGAGGAAGTTCCGCCTCCACGCCAACTCCGCGACCCGATTGGCTGCTGTGCGGCTTCAGCCCTAGGAACGTGGAGAGCGAGTTGGAGAGGAAGTTGGAGAGTGTCCCCAGCCTCACGCCTGGAAGCTCCTCTGCGGAGTGGGGCTCGGCGCAGGCCAAAGGTTCGTGCGCTCCATTCCTAGGGGTGGTTCGCCGGCGCAGCTCGGAACGCAAACCTTCTTGCGGGAGGTGTCCACTTATTGGGTACCCACTGTGTGCCTGAAGCTTTGCACACCGTTTTGTCATTTAACCGCTGAAGGTGCGGTCTCCACCAGGGTTTTGTGCCTTGCCCGTGGCACCCGGATCGTTAAGGTCGATCTGCTCGACTCAAAACACAGGCTTTAACCGCCAAGCGGGCTGGCTCCTTTGTTGTAATGCAGAGAAGTTGGCTTCACAGTGAGTAGTGACCTTTACCTCGTGGCTGTCCCGGGGCCACCTGAAACTCCTTTCGCATACCTTGTGTCTGATGATGCTGGGAATCACTAAAGGACATTCGCGGGGAATTGGCCCAGCTTCAGTCCGTTGTGCACTCGCCCCTCTCCATCATGGAGCCACCATGGGTCAGGGCTTCACCCTTGTCTTGGGGGGCTTGCCATTTGTATCTCCAAGATTTGAGGTAGCATAGAGCCTGTCTGTAACTGGTGCCCGAAGAAGTCTGACAAGAGACTGGAGCTGCCCTTGTTGGCGGGGCGAGGAGAAAGGGCTGCACGTCCCTGAGTGGCAGGTAAGTTGTGGGGTTGTCTTTCTCGAACCTTACCTAACAGGGCTGTTTGCTGGGGAAAGGAACCCCAAAAGAGGGGCTGGAAGTAAGACCCCCTGTGGTGGAAATTGGGAGCATCTTTCCGAGTCAGAATGCTACCCTGTGTCAGGATTCTCCAGAGAAAGAGAACCCGCAGGACGTGTGTGTGTGTGTGTGTGTGTGTGTGTGTGTGTGTGTGTACATTCATTTAAAAGAAATCGGTTTAATTTTTTTTTTAATAAGAAAGAGGGAGCTTCCAGCAAAAGCAAAAGAAGAACAAAGATTGTATTGTAACAGTGGAAACAGGTGTTTTTTTTTCTCTTCTTAGTATTTTATTTTCTAAGGAAATAAAAATGTATGATAATTTAATAGACAAAGAAGCAGGGCTTTTTTCAGTTGGTAAAAGTAATCAAAATCAAGACAAGTAAGGAATGAGTCCATGAACCCCAGGGACCCAAGCAGAAGCCTCCAAAATCATTGGTTGTGGAGGGTGTACTTAACAATGTATAGGTATGTCTTCAAAAACAAAACAGAAGAATATATGTGGATCATGTGGTTATCATCAAGAGTGCACCTGAAACAGTTGGAGATGGTGAGCTCATAAAACTCCCCAGTAAGAAGGTGACATGTCAAGTGGGGGAGAGCTCCTGGGGAGGGCTGAGGGTCTAGCATCAGATTACCTGGATCTTGATCTAAACTCTGTAACATGAGCTGTGTGACTTAGGCAAATTATTTAATCTGGCATCTGTTTCTTCATTTGTAAAATGAGAACAGTACTGTTATGGGGAGCTGCTTCAGAAAACACTCTTAGTCCAAATTCAAATCATTGAGAGCTTTATTTACCTGGCCAGGACTGTCACCCACCCATAGAGACTGAAGCTCTGTGGGAGAACAGCAACTTCCTGGCCTGTATCCTGGGAACTTCAAGATGAAAACCACAATTCAAGGACTTTCCTTAGTGTCATGCAAGTAAGCCAATCACAGAAATTAAAACAATAGTTAGTGGGACCCAAGAGCTCTAAGCAGGGCTGGAATTTTCCAGTTAGCAAGCTAGGACAGAAGTAGAGAAAAGGCAATCAGCTTTGCAAGTCAGTTAACCACATTTCCAGGTTCAAGCAGATGCTAGACAACAGTATCCTGACTTTGAGCAAGGGTCGGCAGGGGAGAGAATCTATTTCAAATTCATGTAGACCCACAAGTGCACTCAAACCCAGGATGTAGCTCTCCATGATCACCACTGCATCCTGAGAAAGGTATAATTTGTGGGGTACAAAGTACAGAAAAACAGTTTTTATAAGAAAACAGCTTTCATTTCAGTTTCTCAGAAACAGCTCTTGTAACAGTTTTTATTTTTAAAGAAGGCAGCAAAATGGAGTCTTAGGCCTGTCTGTGACAGCTCTCACTTTGTAATTGTCTTACCTCACTTATCATATCTATAATCTATATTTTTTACTAATCTGTAACCTATAGCTTACACTCTTACTGATTTTGATTAGCTTACACCACAACAGTACCAGTAACCCTCAGAGAGTTGTGAGGATTAAGTGGGATAATCCATGTAAAGTGCTCCATGTGGGACCTGGTGCATGGTGAGGCCAGGTCAGCCTTAAAACTATTCCTGTTATTTTCATCATGCACTTTCTTCTAAGCATTTTTTTATAATACACATCAAAATACAAAAAAAAAGTTTGGGGAAAACAGTTCAGTCAAGTGCCCCACAGTGTTATTTCAACCTTTTGCTGTTATCAATAACACCATGATAACTGTTCATGTGCATATGGTTTTTGCACATCTCTGATTCTTTTTTTTTTTACAACGAATGTGAAGATGAACAATTTCCGGTCAAATGAACTTATACTGCATGTTATTAAATTGCTGACCAGAAAGTCCATGTCCACCCTACCCAGCAGGGAAAGAGAATTTGTCTAATCCTTCCCAAGTCTGCAAATGCTGGTATTTTCAGGTTTTTGCTTTCTGAGCAGATAATAAGGACATACTCATTTTCATTCCATCCCTGCCATGAACCATGGAGGAATAAAAGATAATGACGACAAATTGTTCTGCAGATGGCCTGGACTATGCCAGCTGACTTCCCTGTGCAGGAATGTGAAGGTGGAGGGGAAACAGGAACTGTAATTCTGCTTTTGCTGCAAGCAAAAATAAAAAAATAGGGACTTAAAAAAAAATAGGGACTTAATTGAGTCCCTATTTGATCCTTCCTTCCTTCCTTCCTTCCTTCCACCCAGGGGCATTCTGCCACTGAGCCACATCCCCAACCCTTTCTATTTATTTCGAGACAGGGTTTCACCAAGTTACCCAGTCTGTCCTCAAACTTGAAATCCTTCTACCTCAGCCTCCCAAGTCTCCAGGATTACAAGCTTGTACCACTGTTGGTACACTGGTGTTGGTTTTCTGCAGAAGTGGAGTTCCAGGCTCCAGTTCTTATCCTATTGGACATTTTACTGCCATACATGACACTTGCAGTTCATCCTCTCAGCCTTTTCTGTAATATATATCATTGTGTGGTGTGTGATTCGAGTTATAGATATTAGTAGTTAAGATTGGAATGGAATGAAAGAACTTGGGGATTGCCAGTGTCATGACACTAGGTGAATCTGAGAGGACTCTGAATTAAAGCTGATGGAATTGATGTAGCTTGTGAATTTATTGTTAGTCAATAAATTCTGATATTGTGCAAAGACACAAATTTGTCCAGTCTATGTTATTTTCTTGTGATATATAGGAAAGGCGAATTCAGTTCAAGGTCATGCTTTGCATATTCAAAAAAATGGCAGATGGGAATGCCTTCCACTAAGGAGAATTTAACATTATAAAGAGCAAAGTTTACTCTGAGGGCACCTAAAAGGAAAGAGTCTGAAGGACTCTTTTTGACTAGCTCCTTGTAAGATTCTCAGGAGGCTCTTACCTGAGACAAAAACAGAAAACAACTTGAGTGAGTGAGTTTTAACAGAGATTCATGCTGCATGAAATAAGCCAGTCCCCAAAAAGTCAAAGATCAAATGTTTTCACCAGTATGTGGAAGCTACACCAAAATAAGGGGAGAGGTGATTCATAAAAAAGAGGGGGAAAAAGGGAGAAGGAATTTCACTGAAATAGAGAAAAGATTAGTAGACAAAGAGATTGAGGAGAAGGAAGGAGGGACAGGAAAGGAGGAGAAGGAAAAGGGAAGAACAGTGGAACCGCCAAACTTTGGTACGTGCGCCTTGATATGGCAGAGGAGTCCCCACATCAGGTGTATCTACAGAACAATAATTTAAAAAACAAAATAAACTGTAAATGGATTGAAGAAGATGGAAGGGAGTGGGACAGGGGGTGCTGGTGTTAGAAATATCAGACACGCAAGAATTCAGACACGCACTAAGTAAGTTACTCGGCAAGGCAAATTTTACTTCTGCAGAAGGTAGTGCTATCAAAACATCTGGCAAACTAGCACACTGGGCAGGAAGTGTGCCCAGGGCTTTATCCCTGAGACGGCACTGCCCCTTGCTCTGATAGGAGGAGTTGGAGTTACAGTCCAAGTGATTGACTAATTTAAAAGAGGGGAGGGCAAGGGGAAGGGCTGTAGTTATGATCAGATCATTTCCTACACTGCAGGCATTATGATTGGCAGACTGAGGACAAAGGGAGATATACTGGGGGCTTCAAAATGGCTACATTTCAACCACATGGTTTAGATGACAGCAAACACATTTTTGTTACATATGAGGAAACTCAGACTATGGGTTTAACTTTGACAGAAAAGAGAACATGAATCTTACAYTGGGGACTGAATTGGAGCGAGTTGTGTTCCACGCTTCTGTGATTGTGTCAGACTATATCCTGGTGTTGTAGATAATAAAAAGCAAATTTTAAAATTAAAGCAGTTTAACATAAAGTTCTTAATTTGCTTTATTTGAAATTCTAGATCAGTCTACACTTCATTTCATACAATAGGACCCTCCCCAATCTGGCCACAGTGGCACCCTGACCCTGTCACTTGGTCACTGGTAATGAGCCTTGCCCAGGAAAATCACCACAGTGACTAGTCTCCCGTTTCCTGTTCCTTCAGAGCTTCAGCATAGCACAGTATCTCTTGCCCTCGACACAGCCCACTCCAGGCCGATTCTCTGAAACTGAAGTTGCCCTCCGACACAGCCCACTCCAAGCCAATTCTCCGAAACTGAAGTTGCCCACCTCTGGACCCTTTGCTTTTTCAACTATGTGGAGCTGGTTCATTAAAATCCTCCACTGACCCCCTACAGTGACCTTTGACCCTCTGAGTTCGTCTCTGCCTGTGCTTTTGGCAGGGAATCCTATACCCCTCACTGGGCTCTAACTGAGGGGCTGCTCTGTATTCTATATATGTGTACATACATCGTTGTGTGAAGAGTGGTGTGTGACTTGAGTGTTATATATATTAGAAATTAAGCTTGGAATGAATTAAAAGGACTTGTGATTGCCCAGCGGATGACTATTAGGTGACCCATGGGTATTTGGTGAAATCACTACTACTATAAGTGGTTTGCTTGCAAATTTATTGTTATTCAATAAATTCTGACATTGTGGAAAGATACATTGAATTTGGCCTGTGTTAGTGGCTTAGCTTACCCACAGCCAATGAGCCCATCCTTTGCAAGGCAAGTTTAATTGGCACTCATCCTTGATTAATTTGTCTATAGTGGGATGACAGTATCCCCGTTGACCTTTGGGTATGGACTTCATTCAGGCAGGGCTGTTTAGCCTGCCTCCAGCTGCAGAGACTGTTCTGTGTTCTCAGGGTGGACAGGAGCCTGGGAAATGGATAAGGAGAAGGAGCAAAAGAACCCTGAGTACCTCTCTGCGTCCACCCAGGGCCATAGTCATCGTGATCAGAGGTGAGTGCCTGCTGGGAAGGGGCTCCAGCTGACCCGGTCCCAGCCTGGGCTTCCCTTAAGACCTACGACCTGCTTAGGTGAGGGTTGGATGGGCAAGGGACAGAGATGGAACGTTAGAGAATAGGACCATGGAGACAGGGACCCTAGAAAAGTTATTAACTTTAAAATCTGAACTGTACATATTTGGAGGCATCCTGGAAATGGCTCACAAACTGCAGTAGGACACAGGACGTGTCACCAGAACTGAAAGTTCTGCTACTTGCTGATCCACTAAAGCTCAGGAGACAGGTTGATGGAGGAAAACAGGTTTAGTAGATTGAGCTAGGGAGTGCTGGCCTGAGAATATATAACAATTTTGGTTTTCCGGAACTTTTCTGGCGCCTGCTCAGGCTGGGCTGGGGGTTCCTTGGTTTCATTCTCAGCAGGAGGAAACTCAGTTGCTGACAGACAGTTCATCAGGACCCTGGGAAGCCTGGGGCTTTCAGTGTTAAAGGGTTGTGTTCTGTGCTCACCATCAGAGGGCACTCCAGGGTTACACTGTTTCTGGGAAAAGCTCTAAGCTTTGGGTGCTTCTGCACTGCCACCAAGATGTCAGCTGGAGCCACAGAAAATGGGGAAAGAGTACTGCTGAGTCCCTTCTGCAGGAATCTCAGATAGAAAGTTCCTGGAAGGAGGTTCCAGAGGGTGAAGTGGCCCAGGGCTTGAGGTGAGGGTAGAAGCTGTGGCCCAGGGGCACAGAGGGTCTGGGTTCTGGCCAGGAGCTGCCCCTAACTTGCACTGTGTCTTCGTGAACTTCTTCCCTCCTGGGCTCCAGCCTCCCACTCTGATTTGAGGGGGCCTGCCAGCTCTCTGTTGGTGGCTGGGTCTCATCCTGTCTCCCACTTGGGTTCACCCCTGGGCATGCCTTTCACCTGTCAGCACAGCTGCCCCTAAGACCCCTCCCCCAGTGAGAGCTCCAGGGGGCTTCTGGAAGTGAAGGATACAGTGGGTCCTTCGGCTTCATATCCTTCTGGGGACCCTGGGGCCTCTGACCACAGCTGCCCGCTCTATATGTTCTTCTTCTTCATCTTTTTTAGGGGAGGATGAGATGTCCTAGTCATCTAGTGTGGCCGAGGCCTCCACTGGTTCTGTCCCTGTGGGGGCCCCAGGACCAGCTGGACCAGGGTCTGATCCCCCACATGCCCACCCAAGGATGGAGATAGGAATTTCTCCCACCTGGTAGGTATCAGAATCTGGACGCTGATCCTCAGCCTCCCCGACCTCCCCCTCAGCTCAGCTTCTCTGTTGTGTTAGAACACGCTGCCCTGATGGTCTCCTCCACACTCACTCGGCCAGAGACCACAGTGTGGGAGTCCTCTGGTCTCTGGGCCTGGGTTAATTTGTTTCTAAATGCAGGGGTAGGCTTAGGCCACTCAGATATCTCCCAGCACCAAGTCCCATCCAACTGGGTGGCACAGAAGCCCTTTGCACTGGCCTTACGTGCTTTACAAGGCCTAGCAGCTGGCCAGTATGGGCTGAGGCCTGCTTCCTGGACCTCTTGGCCCAGCCCATGGCCTGTGAGCTTCAGTCTTGCTGGCTCAGAGCCTAGTCCGTGGTGTCCTCCCCCGAGCACCTGTGTTGAGCCTTCCCTTGGGAGCAGGGCAGCAGAGGCACACTCCTATTTTTTTAATTTTGATAAAATACAAGTAAAATAAAATTTGCCATATTAACAGATTTTAAGTGTATACTTCAATAGTGTGTACTTAAGTACATACACACTCTTATGCAACCATCACCACCATCCATCTCCGGAATTATTCTTCTGTTGCAAAACTAAAACACAGTTAAAYGCTCTGCATTTCTTACTCACCCTGGCCCCGGGCAGTCCCTTTAGGAATTGGACTACTCTCCTACCTCATAGACGTGGAAGGTGTGTGCCCTTATTTCACTCAGCATAATATCTTCAGGACCCATCCATGGTGTAGTAGGTGTCAGAATCTCTTTCCTTTTTAAGACTAAATTAATATTTCATTGTATGAAAGATGACATTTTATGTATTCATTCATCCATTAATGGACACCTGGTTTGCTTCTATCTCTTGATTATTGTGAATAAAACTGCTCTGAACATGGGTGCATCAGTCTCTTCAAGATTCTTTCAGTTCTTTTGGCTATATACCCAGACAAAGAATTGCTGAATCACAGGGTAATTCTATTTTGAACTTTTTGAGGAAGTGCCATAATGTTTTCCATAGCAGCTGTACATTTTGTATTTCCACCAACAGCTCACACTTGTTTCAATATCTGCACATCTTCCCCAAAACTTACTGTTTTCAGTTTTATTGATAGCAGTCATCCTAACAGATTGAGATGATTTTAATTTTGTATTTCCTTGATGATTAGTGATCTCAAGCATCTTTTCATATGCTTATTGGCCGTTCCTATATCTTTTTTGAGAAATGTCTGTGTTGTTAGAGTACTTTGCTCATTTTTAATGTGTTTTTGTTGTTTTTAAGATGTAAGAGTTTTTTTATATTTCAGATATATGATTTTCAAATATTTTCTCCTAGGCTGTACGTTCCCTTTTCATCCTGTTGCTTATTTTTTTATGAGCAAAAGTTGATTATATCTCTTGATCCAGGAACCTTTTTCTGTAATACTGTGTGTCTCTTTGATCCTGTGCCTGGACCTGGCACAGAAGGGGTCAGAGTAAAGGAAACTTGGTCTTTGACCGTAGAGAGGTCAAAATCCAGCAGAGGAGACAGATCATGACATTTCATTGTGGAAAATTCTACAGCAGAAGCAGCATAGTGGACTTAAACTTGAGTGAGTGGGTAGAGGTCCAGCAGCTGAGAAAGATTGGGAATGTATGTTAAGGGGAGAATTTCTGGAGAATGTGACAGATGGTAGGAAAACTGGCCTAAATCTGGCTGTAAGGGTCTGGCGAAGCGTCGGAGAAAGAGACCACCAAGAGACCACTCATGCAATTGGCAGAAGGGGATTTATTGAACCAGCATGCTGGGGCTCCGTGCCCACTCAAGAAAGGAGAGCAGCCCAGAGYCCNSGGCAGGGGTTGAGCAGTGCTTAAGTACACTTTTTGGGGAGGGCGGGGGCTTTGCATACATCACAGTCTCTTTTAACAAATCACCATACACCGCGGGAAAATCAAACAATAATTCTTACACTTGATTAGTACATTCATTGGCGGGAACAGGCTGGGCAGGGGTGATTGGTCACTTCTAAGYGGGRTACACATTCAAACTGATTGGTTTTGGGCCTTGAATGCCTACATGCCGGGCTACACAGGGTCCTAAGTTATTAAACAACCAGATGGCCAGTAGGGTATTGTCTTAACTGCCTCAGGAATTTAACCCAGGCTTTGCAGTTTAGAAGCAGGTTTACAATGCCTAGTCCTTTACATTTTAACTCAGGCTTTGCAGCTTAGAAACTTTACCCTTTCATTCCCCACTCCTTTTTCTGACTACTTTTAATCTTAAAAGTAATGAATCATAATTATTGGGGAGTCTCATTTTTCATCTCTGTCAGTGGAGCATATTGCTGTCTGATTACCATGTGTTGTCCTGCGTTTCCTGGAATCATTTTCAGCATGGCCTCCATTTTAGATTTCACTCGGTATTAGACCCTGATTTATCTAACTACACTGACTACCTAACTTTAAATCTGGCTTCATTCCCCCCCCTCTAATTTGGGAACTCCTTACTGCTGTAAGGAAGGGGGGTGAAGAGGATCTTTCTGGCTTCTTCGGGCTGAAAAGGGACAGTGTGGGGCAAGCAGTTTGGAGTCCCTCTTTAATAATCGGGTCTATCGAGTGGTCCATGATAAAAGTCCAATTGAGAAGTAATAGGCCGGAGGGCCATTCGAATGATAGGTGCTCTATAAGAGGAACAAGAATTCATTAGTACTGGGACCATATTGATGCAGCAATATATGCCACAGCACAGGAATATTCCAATGAGTATAATGGCCAAGACAAAGACTAACAATGTTTTTCACCAGGAAGTACCAAGAACCAGGAGCTAAGATACTGTTTCCACGACAAAGTTGCTGAGGACATGGCTTCCATCTGAGCATGTAAATCTTTAAGGGTATTTGTCACATTGTCAGAAATGTCAGGGATGTAAACACAACAACTAACATTTAGGTTTACAGATGTCCTTTCCTTTAAGATATAGTCTGATAATTTAATGCCATCTGATCCTGCAAAATCCTTTTACTAGTATGACCTCTGTGTCTAATAGAGAAATCTTTAATTCTGTTACTTAGGGCTGGATAACCATTCTAGCAAACATCAAGCCTACCTGCGTTGGTTAGAAATAAAGGCCTTAACCTTAAGCTAAAACTATTCTGGCAGTTCCTTTTGATAGTTATCAGGCATTCCTACCTAAGAATCTCTTTTGCAGCCTCCAGTTTACTTATTTTTGGAAGTTACATTTAACTATTATTATCATTTAAAATGTCCAGGAACAGCTGTGTTTAGGCTTTGACTGTCTTTGCTAAGTRTTTAAGATGAAGCAAGTCAAACTGACTTTTGTTTCTATCTATTGTTAACAGTCAGCTGAGTTTCCCTGGGAGTCCTCGGGGAACTTACAGCAGCTTCTCAGTTCTGCTAGTGCCATTTGCGCTAGGATGGGTCCAGGCCTTGCTTGACCATAYGGCTTCCCTCGGAAGCATCAGGGATGTCWCCCTTYTCTGATGACCCTCCTCTTYACAGCAAATGCACTGAYTGGCTTYCTGTCCTCCACTGGTCTCATTAATCTCCCTGATCGGGAGGTTATGTGGCCTAGAGTTGCAGAGCCCTTTGGAGAAGTCCCCTATTCCCTGATTCAGACTGACTCAGAGGGCAAGAGCCAAATTTTTAATTTTAAAACTTAATCTTAAACATCTAGCAAATAAGTTAACAGCCTTATATTAAGAGTACTGGGCTTTAATGTCTATCTCTCTATCCTGTAGGTGATGACTCATTATAACTCATTGTCTTAAATTAACCCAGGTTGTGAGTTCTTAAAGTAGTACCTCTGCAAAACATTAACAGGCAATCTTTAAACCATCTATAGGCAAACTACAAAATAAAACTAACTAGGGTAAAAACATATTTAGTTTATGTAATAGCTACCTTGAATTTTGGCAGAGTTATACATTATAATCCCCTGTTTGAGATCCTGGCAATCGTGACAAAAACCAACTTTTGGACACAACCTTAAATGTACTGAAATCTGGTCTGCTTCTTTCATAGTCGCTCTCACATGTAGTGAGATGGGACATAGAGCCTTATCTCAAGTAAGGCGGGGCTCTTTATAAATCTTAAGTACTATAGTTCTGAAGCTGATCTTTGCTTTTTAGACATCATTTTACAAAGTCTACATAAATTGTTGCTCAAGTTTACATGAACATTAGCTAACACAACATAATATCACATCTAAAACATGAATTAAGGAAAGGCTGGAAGCTTTTAACCTCTTGTAGGAAAGTAGCAAAGTATTTTTGTGTTTTACAATAAAACCTTCACCCAGATTAGGCTCTCATTAACTTAAAAATACATTTAAATTGTATCTCAGTGTAGAAAGTAACATGGAACTTTACATATCTTATTGATAACAAGTCCAGTTACAGAACACAAATGATATAAATAAATCTCTAACATGTTTTTCTTTTAAGTCTAATTACCATACAACTTTAGATCACCAGCTTGATATAATGTTTTTTTGAAGTTTCTACCTTACAGACTTGTATACCTAAAATATATGAACACATTAAAATCACCATAACCTTGCAAAAAGCTGTGTGCTTATATAGGACTAAGGGGGAGATGGTAGGGCTTAGATATATGGCAGGCAACCCATCTATTGGCAAGTTCTTCCAGATATCGTCACCAGCACCTGAAGAAGATCAGAGCGAATAAAAATAGAATGAAGATAAAAATTAAGGCAAAGGTCAATTTTTGGCAGAAGTTCCATGTTGGGAGACTGACAGAGAAGAGGCCAAGGGCCATGAGGAAGCTTAAAAGGACGTAAAGACTCATGAATCCAGGATGGCAGATTAAGAGGTTCTTTGAACTTGTTGTTTCCCGCTGTCCCATGTCCGCTGCATTCCATCGTGCCTGGTAGTGAGCTTCAGCACTGAGTGAATTGTTCTCTTAAGGATGTTGGGGGTCCATCGGTCATCAGAGGCTGGTAGTGCCTAAGCAGAAGCTGGTTGGAAGTTTGATTTGAGACTTTCTTCAATTGGATTTGAAGGAACTTTATTATGTAGAGCAAGAGAGCACAAGAAAAGTATTGAAAAATAACAGTTGTTATTTAACCATAGTTGTGTAACTTTTTTTTTAAGATTACTTGTTCAAAAAAACTTACACTTATAACCAACTTACACAGACCTTTTTTATCATTTACTTAAACCCTCTTAATTACTTAATTTCAGAAACACATTTTTCCTCTATTAAATCCATACCTAGAACCTTTTAGTTTTTCTTTTCCATCTGTTAACCTTCTTCTGTTCACATTTTGAAACAATACTTGTAAATTTTTGAATTTAAGCAGATTATTTTATAGACATCAACATTTTATTAGGGCCTTTTTTTGAACACCTAGAAAAACTTATAAGCTTAATTTTAAAGACATCTTTGCTTTTATCTGTTTACCCAATCTAAATTGAACCATTTGTATCATGTGAATCAAAGACATTTGGATCCATTTTTAATTTTTTTATGAGCGCTCCTCATCTGTCAATTGTCATATCACTTCGTGATATATGGACATACACACATACAGACATACCGACATACAACACATAACAAAAGTGTGCACACATAACAATAGTAAAGGCCTTGTAGCTTTTTCGCAGGTGAAATCTCCATTGCAATGTTTCAAAAACTCCACAGATCAGAAAAACATTAACCTAGGTCTGTAGGATCAAAATCATGAGCTCAAAAAAAAAGAATACAAAATCTAAGAAAAAGCGAGAGTCCTAAAAAAGATGACTGGCCAGTAGTTAGTAAATACCATATAATTTACTTCTTGGTT